GGAGCTAGCCAGCCCACTAGGGGCCAGAAAGACAGACAGGGAGGAAGCAGAAAAGCAGGATGTACCATGTGTAGATGAGGTAAATGAGCCTCACTCAGGGCAGCACAGAGATGAAAAGAAATGAGATAATTTCAGTTAAAGGGGAAAAAGCTAGCTGGAAACAAGCCTAAACTAAGGTTCAGCATTCATAATTAATAAGTTTCAGTCTCTGTTTCATGATTTGGGAGCTGGCTAATGAGCCAAGAAAGCCTGATACACAGGTTCTTACAATGTGATCAAGGCTGGCCTTGAACTTGTGATCCTCCTCCTACTGCCTCCTGTTCAGACTGATTTTTTTTTCTAAAATTATTTTAAGCATAAAATTACAAGTGATTAAGATCCAGTGTAAAACAATTCCTGCATGATTTGAGAATAATGTCCTTAATACACAATCTCTGAACACTTTAGAATTTATTTTCTCCACACAAGCCCATTCTTTTACCTAGTTACAACCATCAAAATCAGGAAGTTACCTGCCTTTGATTCTACTCCAGCTTTCCCAATAATATATGTATGTGCTTATTTGATCAGTGGCCAGTTTCAATCTCTTCCTGCTCCCCTCATCTCCTTACTTGGTTAATGCCCCCTAACCTGTGCCAGCCCATCTGCCATGTGGATGGACACATTTATTACTGCCCACAGAAGGTGCATATTTCACTGCCTGCCCCTAGTTAGATACCTTTGTATCAAATTGTTCAGGAAGGGGAGAAAGGGAACTGGAGGAAATCAACAAGAAGAGCTTTTTCTCCTAACTTTCTATTCAAAGCAAGTTCACTAGTTTAGAAACTAGATTTCATTTCATTCACTCTTTAAAAAAAAAAAAAAAAGTGAACGAAGCCTTTCCAGAGTTGAGTGCATGAGCTTGGGTGCAGTGCATGTACTTGGAGTCTGCTTTTTGGTCATGCAGCGTCAAGGCCTCTTTTACTCCATCCCTGGAGAGCAGTGGATGTTAGTAAAACTAGGGAGGCCTCACATTGCAAGGACTTCAGTCTCTCTTTTTTTATCCTGTCACTCTGGGATCTTCTAGAATGCTTTAGAAGTTCAGAATTGACGCTGGTGAAGAGGTAGATTGTATGGGCGGGACTGTTGTGGAATAGAATATTTGTTTAATTAAAGATGTGCTGCAGAATAATTGTCTAAGTATGTAAAGATGTGTTGCTGTTGTATCTTGCCTGCCTAAGGCACCTGATTAGTTTAATAAAAAGCTGAATGGCCAATAGCTAGGCAGAGGAGGGAGAGGTGGGGCTGGTGGGCAGAGAAAAAAAGGTCAGCTAGCCAGCCCACTAGGGGCCAGCCAGCCAGGGAGGAAGCGGCAAAGCAGGTGTGACCGTATGTAGATGAGGTAAATGAGCCTCACTCAGGGTAGCATGTAGATGAGCAGAAATGGGTTAATTTAAGTTAAAGAAAAAGATCTAGCTAGAAATAAGCCTATACAAGGTTGAGCATTCATACTTGATAATAAGTCTCAGTGTCATGGTTAAGGGTCTAGTGGTCCAAGAAAGCCTGCTACACGGGACATGTCCAGAAAAGGAGCCTAAGCCAGAATCACTTCATTCATCCTTCCCTCAAACTGGCTTTCCCCCCTGGACTACCCTAGGAAATGGACCCAAATCCTACAGAAGAGAAACTGTAAATCACATGGCCTTTCTTCAGGGCTGTCTGTCCCATGATGGGATTGACAAGACTCATCAGAAACAGCAGCAATCCAGGCCTTGCCTCCCATATAGTACATCGAGGGGAATGACCTGGTAAGGGAGTAAGCAAAAGTCCCAAAAGTCCTGCCTCACCAGGTGAGCTTACAGGGTAGATTGGACTCCAGGTGCCAGGCACAGCCACACTCATCACACATCACACCACAGGTCTCTATATAGCCCATCAGGGTTACACGAGACAACCTGATGCCAGCACTTTAATCTACCCCATGTTTAGAGTCTAGAACTAGACAGGAACTGGGTCATTCCAAGTGTGAAAATGTTACTCACTTCAACACTCCCTGGTTTAGTTAAGCCCTAATAGATGCTTCTGTATTTTCTGGATTCTCACAACCACTAAGTGAATCAGCTAGGGTTCAACCTTAGACCTCTTCCTAACGAAGGCCTTAACAAATGTGTGCTCTGCCCATGTCCTCTTTCAGAGAAAGAAGCTTTAAGGAGTGATAACCTGGGTGGTGAAGTAAGCAGGGTGACAGGCAGATTCAGGAGGAGGAGGACAGGTCAATCTCTGAGTAGTGTTAGAGGAGGGGAAGAAAGAAAAGTAGTAGGATGAAGATACAGTTGGATAAAGGGGACATTTTGGCTTGAATCAATGAAGGGTCCTTCTCATTCATGGTAGTGTTTGAATATTATTCCCAGTGGCTTCTGTAGGGATGATGAGTAAGAAAAAGTCCTAATGTTGAGCCAGTAACATAGTAAGAAAGATGGGACAGCCACTACCAAAGAAATCATTGCTCTATTAGGATCTTATGTTGGGCTGGCAGTTAAGAATGCCTACAATTCTTGCAGAGGACTTAAGTTTGATTCCCAGAATCAGCATATTAATGCTTATAACTCCAGTTCCAGGGAATTAAGTCCCCTCTGGCCATGAGACACATGCATGCATGTGGTGCACACAAACTCACCTCAGCAGACACATAAAAATCAATCCTAAAAAGAAAAAAAGATCAAACATTGATGGATCAATCTTCTCTTTAACTACACAAGCAGAAAAACTAGAAATGTAAATTTGAATGTGGAGTTTGATTTGAGTTTTGTATCAATTGCAACATAAACAGACACAGCCAGACAACTGTCTGGAATTTGTGGTGTACAAACTGGTCAGTCACATACTTGGATAATGGTATGTGTTGGATTAAGCCCATCTCTCCTGCTTCTGAGATCTGCTTCTATGCTTGGTCAGGATGTTTTGGTTTTTTTTTTTTTTTTGTTTTTTTTTTTTTGTTTTTTTCCTGTGGTTAAGAGAGTAGGTCCAGAAGCCGGGTGTTGGTGGGGCATGCCTTTAATCCCAGCACTTGGGAGGCAGAGGCAGGCAGATCTCTGTGAGTTAGAGAGAGAGAGAGAGAGAGAGAGAGAGAGAGAGAGAGAGAGAGAGAGAGAGAGAGAGAGAGAGAGAGAGAGGGAGGGAGGGAGAGAGAAGGTCCAGGGATTATCTGCTGTAAGAAGACAGCTTTTAGTTCCCCTAAGAAATTTTGCTTCCATGCTCACCTGTGCCATATGCTTAACACACACACACAGGCATGGATAGAACATGTACACTCTCTCATTGTAACAGAGCCAAAGGTCAATAGTAAGCAGTGTAACAGAACCCAAGCATAACTATTTATTGAGTGCCAACGATGTATGTGCTATGATCAGGTATTCACTCAAACCTTGGGTTGTGTTTTTTGAAGTATTGTTGATGGGAACACATCAAAAACCATTTCTTTGGTGCAGCGTTTCGGTCTGACTGAGGTGAGGTATTCTCGGATCGCGGTGAGGCCGGTGCACCACAGCCATGATGGAGGCTGATGTGAATCCAAAGGCCTATCCCCTCGCAGATGCCCACCTCACCAAGAAGCTGCTGGACCTTGTTCAGCAGTCCTGTAACTACAAGCAGCTTCGGAAAGGAGCCAATGAAGCTACCAAAACCCTCAACAGGGGCATCTCTGAGTTCATTGTGATGGCAGCAGACGCTGAGCCCTTGGAGATCATCCTGCACCTCCCATTACTATGTGAAGACAAGAATGTCCTCTGTGTATTTGTGTGCTCCAAGCAAGCCCTAGGACGGGCCTGTGGGGTATCCAGACCTGTCATCGCCTGTTCTGTTACCATCAAAGAAGGCTCTCAGCTAAAGCAGCAGATCCAGTCCATTCAGCAGTCCATTGAAAGGCTCTTGGTGTAGGCCTGTGGCCTCTGTTCTTTCCTGTCTGTCCCCATCCTACTTGTGTATCATATTGTCTGTTAGCATGTAGTGTTTTCAGCCAGTTTCTATTATATTGTACTACAAACACACACACACACACACACACACACACACACACACACACACAAACACACACAAAAACCATTTCTTTAATTATTTACTCCTGCTTGGAGTAAGTTTCTCCTACCCAGCTTGAGGAGGCAAAGAGCCGTTCATCAGACATCACCTGGGTTATGCCTTTCAGATTTGCTCCAGATGACACCCCTTCTCCAATGCCAACATCTGTCATTACTGGTCCCTTGAATAGTCTACTCCAGAAGTGTCTAGTTCATTTCTATAATCTTAGAAGCTGATCCGTGAGCTGCCATGATGCTTTGTGAATGATACAATCAACAGGACTCCAAACTTCAGAACTGAGGCTTACTGAGCCATTCCCCTAACCAGGTACTTCATAAATGTGGGCATATCGTGGGATCTTCACAGCCTGGTGAGGTACACCACATATTTCACAGATGAAGCAACTGAGACCTAGAAGAGGTAATGGGTCACACAGCTAGGAAGAGTCAAGCCTGGACTCTTAGAAACTGAGGCTGGGCAACCTGATATTCTTCCTCTGTAGCCTCTTAATCTATACAGACAGTTCTAGATGCATCAAGCTAAAAAAATGGCAGCAAAACTGGAGGGCAGGGGACAAGGAGTTTGCAGTTAAGGATGAAAGGACTGTCACAAAGGAGTTATTACATCTTTGGAACAGAAAACTCCATCTCCAACCTTAAAAAGCTTAGTCCATGCTTCTCAAGACAACAGCCAGTCTCTGCTTGGACTGTGCTCTGATTAGAGGCTGTGTGGTGCTTTGGGAAACCTCCAGCTCTCATATACACTAATTTCAGCAATAGAAATACATTTGGGTGGGCAGCCTGCCTCTATGTCAGACAAAAAGGCTGCTTGATCTCCAAAGTCCATAAGTCTTCACTGTTCTTCCACTGAGGGGAGTAAGGGTGTGTGTGTGTGTGTGTGTGTGTGTGTGTGTGTGTGTGTGTATGTGTGTGTAGAGAGGGGTGGATAGCAGAATTTTTGAGGGAAGGGATTGAGGACTAGGAAAGGGCCAGATGACAAATCTTGGGCCTTTGCCTAGAAATACCATAAAGCATCCTGAACTCAAATTCTTTGGTCCTTTTGCTAGAGCAAAGCCTTCTTTATGATCCTCTCTGGTTCACCTTCTTGCTACTGTACTCCTCAACAGGGACTTTGCCTGGCTTTTAAGTCTTCTTCCACTGAGAAAAAGTAGTTGTTGCTTTTATTATGATTAATCTATCTCAAAGCAGCTGGTCAGGGTTACACAGCTCTGGACATCTAACACTTCCCTCTAGCTAAAGCTAATGGATATTCTAAATGGAATCGCATAGAAGAGGGCCCCCATTTTAAATCTTGTCTCTTTGAAGGTGGTAGCCATAGCTCTAGTGCAATGTTCTTCTAGCCTGGGGTTTCCGTCTCAATCCAGATGGTTCCTTCAGGGCTTCTCAGGGCTGGACCAAACCCAGAGACAAAGTTTGGATTAAAACTGAAGCCAGGGATATCAACAGAAGCTCCCATCTTGGTCATCCATTAGTGTTAGAAAAGGTTGGGAGTTAGGGCAAAGGCCTTGCCACACTACAGGCAAATGGAAGTCTTCTTGTTACTGTGGGTCATTTGGTAGAAGAATATGTGGGAAATCTGTCTGAAGCTCCCGGCACACTTACTGCAAATGTGAGGTCTTTGGCCTGTGTGGATATGCTGGTGGTGTCCACAAAATACTACTGGCAACCAGGTACTTCTAGGGCTTTTTGCCCATGTGTGAACATTCATGGAGCTGTGGTGTAAGATTTTGCCACATTCTGGAAAGGTTGGTCATTTGCTCAAGTGGATGCGCTGGTGTTCAATGAACATGGTGCTCTCACTAAAGCCACGTCCACATTCAAGACACCTGAAAGGCGGCTCTCCATTGTGAGTGCGCTGGTGCCGTAGGCAGTTTGAGCTGTTGGTGAAGTTCTTGCCACACTCACAGCAATTGTAGGGCTTCTCACCTGTGTGTGAACGCTGGTGTTCCAGCAGATAGGAACTGCGCCCAAAGCTGTCTCCACACCAGACACAGAAGTAGGGTTTCTCTCCAGTGTGACAGCGCTGGTGCTGTAAAAGGTTAGAACTCAGGCTGAAACTCTTGCCACAGAGTCCACAGCGGTAGGGTTTCTCCCCAGTGTGAGTACGCTGGTGCTGGATCAGATTGGAGCTAACCCTGAAAGTCTTACCACACTCAGCACAAGCATAGGGCTTCTCCCCAGTGTGCACCCGAAGATGTTTTGCTAGGTCTGCACTGCGGCCAAAGGCCTCTCCACACTCTATACACTTATGAGGTCGGAGACCTGAGTGAGAACGCCGGTGTTTAGTGAGATTAGAACTGAGGCTGAAGCAGCGGCCACATTCTGGGCAGGGGTAAGGTTTTTCACCAGTGTGCACCCTGTAGTGCTTAACCAGATCTGAGCCCCGCCGGAAGCTTTTGTCACACTCTGGACAGCTGTAAGGCCGGTCACACCCATGGCTGCTTTGATGATGAATGAGGTCAGAGAGGCTGGCTACAGTCAGCCCACAATTCTTGCACCTGAAAGCTTTGTGGACTGCAGGATCATTGGTCTTGGCAAAGGATTCTTCCCCAGGGCCAGAGTCTGACCTACATAGGTACTGCTGGCCCAGCAACTTTTCCCCGGCGGCCGGTTGCTCCGACAGCGCCAGGAGAGGGCGCTCATGCAACTCAGTCTCGCGATCCAGGGGCGACTTGAGGTCTCCCGGGAATTTTGATGTCCCGTTCCCCAGCAGCTTTGCCCCGTCTGGATTCTCCCAAGCAGCTCCTGGTGCCACAAGTTCCATTGCGGGCTTAGAGCGCTCGCCGCCGGTTTAGCTCATCAGCATTGGAAGCTTGGAAGCTACCACCGGAAACGGAAAGGTCTACAAGCCCGAGCTGCTCTAGGAAGCAGCAGTGAACTTTCTCGGTAGGTTTAACTCTCTCATTCACTTAACGAGAGCTTGGAGTTCTATGAGTTGATCAGTCCGGCTTCTGGATCCTAGACCACCACGCTTGGGGGTTGTGAATAAAATGTAAATGAGGAAAGGCAGTCGCTGGCAAGGACGTACCGGGAACGGAGTAGTTAAGTCACGTTGAGCAGCACAGACTCCATAGCGGGCCGTCTGGTTCTAGAAGCAACAGCTCACCCTTAAAAACCCTGAGAGGAGTTTCTCACCCACCTCAAACTGCTTTAAGCTTGGGCCGCCTACATATCCCAGCATGCACCGCACGCGCCTCCTACTTTTACACAGATAAATACCATTCTCGCCATGTCTTCTGCGACTGTGCAAGTACCCAAGTTCCATAATCTAGAACTTCTACTTCCGACTCGCATGATAACTGCGGCGGCGCTATTCAGAGGAGCAGCTTGGCCACGCCCCTCTCCTCCAGTTCCGCTCTCTCAGAGAACCGGCGAGACACGGGGCGGAGCCTTAGCCCCGGGCCAAGATGGCGGCTGCGAGACCGGCCCTTACGGACTCTCTCTCGTTTTGCCTCGCGCAGCTCACGGCGGCGGCCGGGGAGGGGCCGGGTTGGGGAAAGGACCCAGCTATCAACGAGACACCCCTGGGCCGAGCGCTCTTAGCTCTTCGCACGCGCCACATCAAGGCTGCAGAGGGAATTGAGCGCTTCCGGGCACGCGGCGGGCTCCGCCCCCTTCTCGCCCTGCTACGCCGAACGGCTGCTGCGGGCCCCGCCCCGTCCCAAGCAGCCTCTGGCTCCGCCCCTTCATCGGTTGCGTCAGCTGGTTCTTCCCCTTCCCCTGGCCCCGCCCCCGCTGCTGAGCCGCCTTTGACGCCTTCGTGGCCAGTGCGCCTGCGCAAGACGCTGGATTTGGCGCTCAGCATTCTAGCCAACTGCTGTACGGAGGAGGCGTGCCGAGCCGAAGTTCGTAGACTTGGAGGCATTCTCCCTTTGGGTAAGTGCTCCGCCCCCTTTTCTTAGAAAGGTCCCACCCACAAGACCTGTGCAATCCTTAGTTCTTTATGTCACGACTCTGAGTGCATGCTTTGTGATGGTGCAGCGCCACTCATCTCAGGTGTCATGCTGTGTGACGTCACTGCTCTCTATAAATTATACCTGCACCTGCCCAGACCAGGACTAGGTATTGGCTCCTGCCTCACTCTTGAGCGAATGGTTTGTATTTTCTAATGTTGGTGTTTGTAGCGGACAGTGCTTATTGCTGTGTCCGTCCCTGTGCAAGGTTTCATTCACGTGGATGAGCTGGAGGTCAGAAAGTTTTAAAAGTTCAGAGAATGGACCTAAAAAGTGGTGCAGTCAGACATAACAGACAAATCATCCAGCCCCTCTAAAACTAGAACTCAAAATTGAAGTGAACATAAAATGAAATTCAAATATAGAATGCCAGACTCCAAGCTCAGGCTGGGTACCTCAAAACACGCAGTAAACAGTAAATTCCAGGAAAGGGTATCGGCTCCTTTGGCGCCTCCTAATGGTAATGATGGTTTTTTTTTGTTTTTTTTTTTTTTTTTTTTTTGGTATTTTTGAGACAGGGTTTCTCTCTGTGGCTTTGGAAGCTGTCCTGGAACTAGCTCTTGTAGACCAGGCTGGCCTCGAACTCACAGAGATCCACCCGCCTCTGCCTCCTGAGTGCTGAGATTAAAGGCCTGTGCCACCAACACCGGGCTAAAAATATTAATTTTTAAAGTGGAGCATTTATATATTTAAAATTTGCATAGAATGCACTTGTACAGTACTGTGTTTGACCAGAGGCTTGGCAATAGCCCTTGTAAATACCAAGTTCTCTAACCTTGCTTCCACAGTTCTGTGCTTGCAGGATAACCTTTTGATTGGCAGGAATGAAAGCAGACTTGGTTCAAGCCAAGTTACCTGCACTACTTTGACAACTTCAACCATTCTCCCTGCCCAATTCCTTGTCTTGTAGTACCCCATCCCTACAGTTGCCAGAGTGTGTAGGTCACTGCCCTTCTTAGTATCCTTTTGTGGCAGCTGTTGCCTTCACATTTAAATTCTGACTGCTCGGACAGTAATTTGAGGGGCTTTGTGAAATCATAGAACTGTTATGGCACTATTACCTTGGGGCATTTGGAAAAGCTGCTTCCAAACCTGAGACACTCTAGCCTTTCCGTATACCATCCTTCTGGCAAATATCCATTCACCTTTTAGCATCATCTGAAGATGCTTCCCTAACCTTCAATCATGTTTGTTTTTTCCTCCTCTCTCATTCTTCTCTTTCCCTCAGAGTTTTCTTGTCCTGATCACCTGCTCCCAAATAAACACACAAAAGCTTAATTAATTATATTAATTCCAAATGCTTGGCCGATAGCTCAGGTTTATTACTAACTAGCTCTTACATTTAAATTAACCCATTTTTATAAATCTGTATATTGCCACATGGCTTGTGGCTTTACCTGTCCTTTGGCATCTTGTTTCCCCTGTGGCTTGCTTGGGTGGCTCCCTGACTCCGCCCTTCTTCTCCCCCTCTTTAGTTTGGTTTTCCACCTAACCTTGTCCTGCCTGGCTGTTGATCGGTCAGCCTCTTCATTAAGCCAATCAGAGCATAATTTACACAGCACACAGGAATATTCCATTGCACTCCTCCTTCTCTCTTTGGGTTGTTGGGGATTGGCTCAGGGCTTGATTAAGGTAGACAAACACTCTACCAGTGACCTTCATCCCTAGACATTTACCAGACTCTTGACATGATTAATTAGAAACAAATAAGGGGTAGAGCCTTCAAGAAGACAAACTGTCTTTGCAGTGACCATTCTTCAATGTGTGAAGACAGACAGCATCCAGAACCGAACAGCTCGTGCACTGGGGAACTTAGCCATGGAGCCTGAGAGCTGCAGGGACATTCACTCTGCTGGTGAGAAGGCTGTGAGAATGGGGTTGGCTGAGACCTGTAGGAGGTGGACTTCCATGTCTACCCTTGCTCATTGTCTGTCTTCTTCCTTTTCCAGGTGCTGTTCCCTTTCTTGTTGAGAGCCTAACGGCCTGCCAGGACTCACAATGCTTACAGAGTATAGTTCGTGCCCTCCGCAACTTGGCAGACTCGCCCCAGCACCGCCTAGCCCTGGCACAGCAGGGAGCAGTTCGGCCACTGGCTGAGCTTTTGGCTACTGCCCCAGACCCTGCACTGACCTCAGCCCTAGTTCGCGCTCTCTTGGAACTCAGCCGAAGCTGTTCCCGGGCCTGTGCTGAGCAGCTGAGTCTGGGTGGGGGACTAGGCCCACTTGTCAGCCTGGCTTCTCACCCTAAACGGGCAATACGTGAGGCAGCCATCCTGATCCTTGCCAATCTGTGTGCCCAGGGCCTGGTGCGGCCTGCACTGGGCAATGCTGGTGGTGTGGAGGTGTTACTAGGTGAGCTTAGGCGAAGACGGGGTCCCAGCGGGACCAGCTCAGCTTCCCAGCAGCCCCTAGTGCGGGCTGTGTGTCTCTTGTGCCGGGAAGCCATCAACCGGGCCCGGCTTCGGGACGCTGGTGGTTTGGAGCTGCTGATGGGCCTCTTGCAGGACCCTGGTGCCAGTGCCTGGCACCCACGTGTTGTGGCTGCTCTTGTAGGCTTCCTTTATGACACTGGAGCCTTGGGCAAGTTACAGGCTCTGGGCCTCGTGCCTCTTCTGGCCAGGCAGCTATGTGGTGAAGCTGGCGAAGAGGAAGACGAAGGAATCGAAGCTGCTTCCTGGGACTTCCCTGAGGAACGGACCCCTGGGCAGACAGAGGTGGGAAGCTTCCGAAGCCTTAGGTGAGTCCCCTTATCGGGGCCTGAGGGGTAGATGGTGCTTGGGGAGGGAGTTCGTGCCTGCTATGGTCATCTTCCTTACCTCTGCCTCTTTTCTGTTGTAAGAGATTTACCAAGGGTTACTCTTAATTCATTGCTCTTCCCTAATATGACTTGACTCTGCCATCTGTCCCTGGCTCCACCCCTTCACCCAGAACTATGGGCCTTGCAAATGTTGATTGGGGGTGGCATTTGACCTGGTTACGGCGATATGCTATGGAGCCTGCTTTTTATTTATGTATTTATATGTTTTTGAGATGGCGTGTTTCTTTGCAGGCCAGGTTGCCTGACTCTCATTGGATAGCCCGGGCTGTCCTTGAATTTGCAGCTATCCTTCTGCTGTTCCTATTCTGTTATCATCACTGAAACTTTCAGGAAACTGACTTTTCTGAGCCACTGATTTCTTGCCCACCGAGTTGCTGCAAAGACTACCCTTACCTGGCTCCGAGTGATGGCCAGTAATGGCAATCTTGTGGACTGCCATCTCACTCCCTGAAGGCCTCCTCAGATGAGAAAGTACCTTCTGAGAGCCCCTCTGTCTAGAACTCTCTTCTTCCTGTGTGCCTTCATCTCGCACCTCCTTCAAGTCTCTGTTCAGTTCTACCATCTTTGTAAGACGTGGTGATCACCATCTTATATAGTATTTCACCTCTCCTCTGATCTTCAGAGTCCCTTCCCCCTTCTGTTACTGTATCTTGCTACACCGACTTCACAGCAACACACCATGAAAGGGTTGTTTTGTTTTGTTTTGCTTGGACAAGGGGTCTCGCTCTGTAGCCTAGACTGATCTTAAACTTACCATCCTCCTGCATCAGTGCCTGAGTGCCAGGATCACTGCGTACCTGGTCACACCGTGTTGTTTACGTGCTTGCACTGCTTCTCCTCAGTAGGTCATAAACCCCAAGAATAACCTGTTTTGTTCATTGCTTTTCTTGAGCACCTGAAGCTGGACGTGGCACATGGTAAACGTTAGTAATTCAGGATGAGGTGTGGCGCCCCCTCAGCTCTGTGTCCTCCCCACTTACACCCTCACAGAACTGTCCCCTTTCCCTCCCTCCCTTTCTCTCCCCCTCTTTCCTGCCCTCTCTCCTTCCCATCTATCTACTTTTATTTTTTCTTTTTGAGACAGTATTGCAGCAGACTGTCCTGGAGCTCACTGTCACAGGCTTGCCTGGAATTTGTGGTACAGAACCATCCGTTTTGATTATGCCTCCTCGCCTTTTCTCCCTGTCCTCTGTAGGTTGTGGCTGATTTCTGAGGGTTATGCAGCAGGCCCTGGAGATGTCTCCCCAGATTGGTCCCCTGAGCGTTGTCCGATGCCAGAGCTATCCGAGTCAGGGAGTCCTACCTCTGGCCAGACCTCAACGTCGACACCCCGCACCCTTCGCAAACTGAGCAGAATTCCTACTGCCACTACTGAGGAGCCTTGGGGCCAAGAGGGGCCAGCGCTGTTGCTGTTGTCACGCTTCTCCCAGGCTCCTGATCCAAGTGGAGCTCTAGTGACTGGCCCAGCACTGTGTGGCCTGTTGGCCTATGTGACAGGCGCACCAGGACCACCAAACCCACGTGCGCTACGGATCTTGGCACGTCTCACCTGTAACCCTGCCTGCCTTGAGGCCTTTGTGCGCAGCTATGGAGCAGCACTCCTGCGTGCCTGGCTGGTACTTGGTGTCTCACCAGATGACTGGCCTGTGCCACGTGCCCGGCCTGTGCACCAAAGCCAGCACCGGGAGCTGGGTATGTTTCCCCTAGCCCTACCCACATGAAAGGCCTGTGTGGTCCTAGAACCTCTACTTCCTACTCACTTGCCCTCACTGTTCTCTCCAGCCCACCAGCCAAGCTTCTCAGCCCCCCGGCATGGGGTGGGGTTGAAAGACAGGGGACTGTCCCTTATTATGTTCCATAGCTCTGGAATACAGAGAGTTTGTTCTGTCCTTTGCCCAAACCTTGGGGCCCAAATAACCTGGTACCAGCTTTGGCTCCTAGTACTGTAGAATCTGACTTTTCTGTATTTCTTTACCCACTCAACTCTTGGTTCTGCACTGTCCTATTTCCACCCCGGGCACACTCATTTATGTACTGAGACCGACCCATCGTGTCCTCTCAGGCTCTACTACCGTTTTCATCTTAGGACTACCCTGTCTTCTGGACCTGACTGTAGGCTGTTTCATTCCTTAAGGGCCCCGATCTGCACCCTGACCCTCCATTCGCCTGTCCTTGGCCAGTGCTCTTCGCACTCCTCTGATGATTTCTTGCCCCGAGACTTTACTCTCCCCTCTCTTGTAGACCCAGAGGCCTGTCTTGCCCATAACACCCCAGCCTGACCTGCTGTGTCTGTCTCTGCAGGTGAGATGCTGCTGCAGAACCTGACTGTTCAGGCTGAGTCCCCCTTTGGAGTAGGCGCTCTCACCCACCTGCTGCTCTCTGGGAGTCCCGAGGACCGTGTAGCCTGTGCACTGACCCTACCCTTCATCTGCCGGTGAGGGGGGAGCGGGTGTCTTGCAGGGATTGTGAATAAGATTTTGATTGTGAATAAGATTTGTCCTGCCTTGCTGAAATACCTCTTTTTCCCCCTGCAGGAAGCCTACTCTGTGGCGCCGTTTACTTCTGGACCAGGGTGGCCTCCGCCACCTCCTCACAGCACTAACTCAGCCCGTTCCACACCCACTCTTCCTCTTCTTTGCAGCAGATTCCCTTTCCTGCCTCCAAGGCCTGGTGTCACCCACCTCAAGCCCAGTCCTTTTCCCTGTCATGCCCTCGGAACTTGACTCAGCCTCCCCTTGCCTCTATGAACCTCTCCTGGGCCCAGCCCCTGTCCCAGCCCCTGACTTGCACTTCGTTCTGGATTCAGGCCTACAGCTCCCTGCTCAGCGGGCTGCCTCAGCCACTGCCTCCCCCTTCTTCCGGGCCCTGCTCTCCGGCAGCTTTGCTGAAGCCCAGATGGATTTGGTACCACTTCGAGGCCTGTCCCCTAGTGCAGCATGGCCAATCCTGCATCATTTGCATGGCTGTCGTGGCTGTGGGGCTGCTTTGGGGCCCATACCCCCACCTGGACAGCCCCTGCTGGGCTCCAAGGCTGAGGAAGCTCTGGAGGCTGCTGGCCGTTTCTTGCTGCCTGCACTAGAGGAGGAGCTAGAAGAGGCCGTTGGCTGCATCCACTTGGGTCCCCGAGGTGGCCCTGAGTCAGTGGGTGAGGTATTCCGCTTAGGTCGGCCCCGGCTGGCTCTCCACTGTGTACGATGGACACTGGGGCCAGGGCAGTGCCCTAGGAAACGGGCCCTGGCCCTCACAGGGCTTGTGGAAGCAGCAGGTGAGGAGGCAGGACCTCTAACTGAAGCTTTGCTGGCTGTGGTAACAGGGATCGAGTCGTAGTACAGGTGCTCCAGGCTAAACTGTTGGCATCCCTGGAAGAGCACCCAGGGATGAATTTGCTGGACAGGAGGCTCCTCTCAGCATGGCATGAGGGGAGACTGCAGAAGGAGCTATCCTCAGGGACTGGAGAGAAAGTGGAACCAAATCCAGGCTGAAGCTGAAGATCTGCAACTAAAAAGCCAATACCAGAGTCTGCATGGAGTCCAAGAGGACAGCTCAGGGCCCCGGGGTCTGCTCTGACCTGACCCTAGGGTATTGAAATTAAAAATGAGATTTCGATACTGCTGTTGTGTGGTTCTTCTGTTTGCTTTCCTCTGGAGATGCTCCACCCACTCACCTGCCAAGAGACCCATGCTTTGACGTGGGCATCCAGATTTAAGAGTTCAATAAATAATTGCCTAGTGGTCACTATAGGCCTGGGACATGGTGGGTTTTCTATTCGGATAAAGTTTTGTGTGTGTGTGTGGGGGGGGGGTGCTTTCTGTTTATGGGTCCTCATTGCTTTGACACAGCTACCCATCTAAATGCAGAACCTGGCCAGCCTGCAAGGTTTGGGCAGAGGACAGCAAGTGTGGTGGCATGTCATAACACTTCTGACTGTCCTTTACCTGTCAGTCTCTGCATCCATTCCCATCTCTAGTCAAATTTCTTTTTTTAAAGATACTCATTCATGAGTGGGCATGTGCATATTATGGCTCGCTCCTATGTAGAAGTCAGAGGACAGACAGCACGAGAGAATCAGTTCTCTGGTTGCATCACATGGATCCCAAACTCAGGTCATTTGGCTTGGCAGAAAGTGCCTTTATCTGCTGAGTGGTCTTACTGGTCTAAGCCTAAAGGGAGACCTGCTGTGTTCTTAGGGCTTCTCAGCCCAGTCTTAGTCACATTCAGAGAAAACTGTTTTACTAGTGTTCAGATGAAGGAAGGGTCTCCCTTCACTGTGCTCTCAGGAGCCCTGGACTAAGCCTGCCAGGGTCTGGGCATTTCAGAAAGGTGAGTTAAGGTGGCTCTTGCTGCCCCTGAGCCTCTCTGGTTCAGGTTGTGGCTTTAAGGTATGTATCACACACCTTTAATTCCAACCCTCAGGAGGCAGAGGCAGGTGGATCTCCATGAGATCTAGACCAGCAAAGGTTTTATAGTGAGATCCTATCTTTTTTAGGTTCTTACACCTGGCTCCTTTCTGACTGATTTAGGCTGGCATGGAGGGTTATGCTGGGCTTCAGTGTTTTTACCAAACTCCAGGTTCTGACTTCCTCCTGGGTTGAAGACACATAGTCCATTGTTTAGATCTGTCCTCCAGATTGGCAGTAAGACAGCTGCCATCTGCACACCCATCTCCAGGTGTTTTCAACTTGGCTTTTAGGGAGTTGGCCCGGGGACAGCTTCTTGTCACCCTGGCTGGGCTCTGTATGCTGCTTGCTTCCTCCTCTTTGATCAGCACCTCAGGAAAGGGCTATTTTGGAAGAGGCTCTGGCCACCTCAGTGTTCAGAAGAGTTTTGTTTTACACGTCTGGTGTTTTTCATCCTGGGAGTTTACATGGGGTTTAGGTCTGAGCTCTGCTCTCCCTGTTGTGCGTATCTATCTCCAGGTATGTTTTTGCAGGGAAAGCCCCGACTTGGGATTGGTGCTCTCCGAGCGAGACATTTCTTAAGTGTGTATGCCTCTTGCTGTTCAATCTCTATTTGGCTGGCTGTCAGACCTGGAATCACTCCTGTCTAACAAAATTCTGCAAGGGACACGTCTTAAAAATACCCTGAGGAGTGGGCTCTGCCTAGAACTCAGTTGCTGGCTTTGGGAGTAGTGGGCTTGGGGGGCTTCAGTTTATGGGAGGGAGCTCCCTTAGGAGGGAGCTACGGAAGAATCTCTTCCAACTTGGCTTCTTCAGCTTCTGGGACTTGCTGCCTCCGAGGCAAAGGCTGGGGTGTGGCCTCCTCTGAGCTGAGCCAGAAGGCTGGAGTGGTTGGGTGGGCCCTGGTGCTGTCTTTCTTCATGTCCCCATGCTCCCCCTTCATCGCTCCCCCCTCGACTGTATCCCAGCGGGTCCTGGCTTCCATACATGGTCACGGCCCTGCTTCTAACTCCCTGACGTCCCCCCCCCGTCCCCCGCCCCCACCGGACACGGCCCCCGCCCTGCTCGCCCCAAGCTGTCTGCCAGCGCACCGCCATGGAGGACCTGGGTGAGTGGGGACCGGATCCCCTTAGCCTCTCGCCCCTGCCTGCATCTATCCTCTTTCCCACTCACACTCCCACATTTCTCCCATTCCAGTTTTCTCCCTCCATTTTCTCGCCTCTGCCTGCCTGTGCCTTCCTCCCAAATCCACGTACCCTTTCCTGCCTCTCCCTTCCTGCGTGCCTTGCCGCACCCTCCGTTCTTCCCTGGCTCTGCTCCCTCAACCCGGTTTGTGCAATGGATTAGGCTTTGAGACACCCACGGGGCCTGCATTCAGAGGCTCTGGGAAGGAAGGGGTTAAGGGATCCTTGGGTCCTGAGACTGGGAACATTGACTGGAGAGGAGAGTTTGACATCAAGTTTCGGAGATGAAAAGGGGCCCAGATAGCCCGCCCTAGGGCTTCAAAAAGAGAGGAGTAAGAGCTCTGAAGTATAGCAGAAGTCAGGTGAGTCATCGGGACAAGAAAGAGAATAGACAGAGAGTGCCAAGGTGGCAGAGAGAAGTTAAAGGTTTCTACCTAGATGCTCAGAGAAGAGTAAAGGGATCGCTAAGCTCATAGACTCAAAGCGTCCTAGGCGTCCTATCCTCCCTATTTGCGGAGTCTGTGCTCCGCATGGCGGGATCTGGACTCACAGCAGAGGGCGCTCCTCAATAATAGTCTCCGTATAAGAAGTACCGCAAAAAGCAGCTCCCTGCCAGTACCTCTTGTCCCTGAGAACTGGGTGAGACTTCATTGTGACCAAGAAGTGGGCCAGGCTGGCCAGGCTATTTAAATGTAGGGAGGGATTAAGCACAGAGAACATTTAACCAGGAAGTTGGGTGTCAAGCATACAGCCAATTGAACAGTAAGAGCCAGTCTCGGCTGCATCAGGAAAGATGGAGAGAATAAGAGTCAAGAGACTAGGTTTGTACTAGGCTCCCAGGACAAGTCAAGGGAGATGTCTAGTCATAAATACCCCCTGCTACCGTTCTATTTCTTTGCCTTGATCTGGCCCTGTGTTTTCTTAGCCTCTGCCTTTAACACTGGCTTCTATCTTTTCAAATACTGCCACATGGAACCCTTTATCTTCTAACCACTTAAGACCTTGACCCCCGACCTCTCACCCGAGGGCCTCTCACTGCAGATGCCCTGCTCTCTGACCTGGAGACCACCACTTCACACATGTCACGGTTAGGGGCTCCAAAAGAGCGCCCACCAGGGACACTCACACCTCCCCCACCCTATGGCCACCAGCCACAGGTGAGATGAGATTCTGGGGTCTGGGGCAGCCATTAGGAGGGCCTGGGTTGGTCTGGGCTATGGGAAATCAGTGTTTGAGGTAAGGAACATGACTGTTCTTCCACACACACCTCGACTCTCTGCAGACAGGGTCTGGAGAGCCTTCAGGAGCCTCTGGGGACAAGGATCATCTGTACAGGTGAGAAGCCTGGGAACTGGGGCGTGGAGATGGTGAAGCTGGCTGAAGTTCAGGTGAGGGGACTTGGATTCCCCACCCTAAACCCAGATCCCCTCTTGTCCCTCAGCACAGTATGCAAGCCTCGGTCCCCAAAGCCTGTGGCTCCCGCAGCTCCTCCATTCTCCTCCTCCAGTGGTGTCTTGGGCAATGGGCTCTGTGAGCTAGATCGTTTGCTTCAGGAACTTAATGCTACCCAGTTCAACATCACAGGTACCAGGGTTACGGAGCAATCTTTGATGGGTTGGGGACAGAGCAAAGCAGGACAGAGTCTAAGGGACACAGACTTCTCCAAGGAGCAGTTAAAGGACATGACGCCTTCACAGGGAGGGTGAACTGAGTGCCCCCCTTACCTAGTGTTATTTTCTCATCTCTCCAGATGAGATAATGTCTCAGTTCCCATCTAGTAAGACGGCTGAAGGGGAAGAGAAGGAGGACCACACTGAAGACAAGAGCACCTCCACTGTGTGAGTTTGGTGTAGTTGACAAAGCTAGGAAGGAGGTGATGGGCCTGGATGTCTGAGTTACTGGGGGGGGAGTGTCATGCTAGCAGGCTCTAAGGTTATACAACTGTGTTCTCCACAGCCCTCCCAGTCCATTCCCTGTCACCTCCAAGCCTTCAGCCACCTCAGCCACTCTGGAGTTGGATAGACTGATGGCATCACTCTCTGACTTTCGTGTCCAGAACCACGTGAGTCTGGAAGGATTCTGGCTGGTGTCACTTTGTGGTTCACCAATCCAGTTTTGATGCTTCCAATTTGTGGCCTTGTTGACTCAGTGTCATGTACTCTTCCCTGCAGCTTCCAGCCTCAGGGCCATCTCAGCCACCAGCGGTGAGCTCCACCCAAGAAGGGTGCCCTTCTCCACCAGGACAGACCAGCAAGGGCAGTCTGGACACCATGCTGGGCCTGCTGCAATCCGACCTCAGCCGCCGTGGTGTTCCCACTCAGGCCAAAGGTCTCTGTGGCTCCTGCAATAAACCTATTGCCGGGCAAGTAAGTGCAGCCCTGAGAACGGAGGCACATGTTCACATAGCCACCTTTGAGAGCCAGACTGTGCGCTTTCCCCTTCATGAATATTGTTTATTTTTTGAGAATGCAATGCGTGTATACAGTATATTTTGGTTCTATCTAACCCCTGTCTTAATTCCTTCCAATGTCCCCACCTTCCTCCCAACTTCATCTTTTTAAAATCACTGAGTACAGTTAGTGCTTCCAATATGTGCATGGGCGTAGGGCCATCCTCTGGAGCATTGGTACCTCCTAGGGGCTGCATCCCTGGAGAAAACAGGAGCACCCTCTTGCAGCAGCCAGGACTGCCAATCCATCCTCTGCTAGAGGTTGGGCTAAGTGAGCCCCTCGCTCATCCTTGAGGGAATTCTAACAAAGCTTGGTACTGAGCAGGTCTTATGAAAGATCCACAGCTGCTGTGAGTTCATGAGAGCCGCAACCCTGTTATGTGGAGAAGGCACTGATTCACAGACGTCTCCCTGGCTTCCGGCTCTTACTGGCTTCTCCACCCCTCTTCTGTGATGGTCTCTGAGCCAGCTGTGTGGGGAGATGTGTGCTACAGATGTTCCATTTAGGACAGTGTGCCCTCCCTTTCAATGACTACCGGAGGGATGGAAATTGTTTTCCTTGTGAAATTCAGGCCCTTGAT